GAACCCTGGGGTCCCATTCATCCCCCTGTCTCCACAGATATGCTGTGTCTGCTCTGAGAGAAATCCCTGGGGGGCGGGAATTGATCCCCCACTTAACCCCTCAGATGCAGTGCTGGGTGCAAGGCTGCATATCCCGTAGTAAAGACTCTTGGGGAGACATTTTAGTGCCCCCTCATAATCAATACCAGGGGCTGGTTCACTGTTCACCCCACCAGTTACACTGCTGCTCTCCTGCATCCCCTGGCAAGTCACATTGCTGAATGCCTTTCAAGTGCTTTCCTGATGCTCCGGGGAAGTATGTGGGGGGAGGGTGTTCAGCACCTGTGTCCCAGCCTATAGAGTGTTTCAAAGTGCTGCTACATTTGTAGCACTATGAATGTAATGTTTATCCATGACCAGCATCACCTATTGAGAACATCTGGAGCTTTGAATCTATTGTTGCACCTTTTACAGTGCTGAATGAATTTTGAAAGTTGGAAGAGTTGTGTTGTGGTTCTTCACATATGATTAAGGACTGCTGAATTTAAGAGTTTTAGCTCCTGAAGCAAAATGCCAGTAGGCACTGAAGAAACCCTTCAAGAAATTTCTTGTCTTGAATGAAATGAGGGAACCCACGGTCTTGAGGGAAAACAGTATACAGTATTATGTATGGAAAAGGGATTCCTTCTTTCTCTTAGTAAGAGAAATATAAAAACAAAAAGGAGTTAGATTGTGCCCTGCAACATGTTAGAAGGAACCTTAGAGATGGGACTGGCTTTAGATGCCCTGAAAATTATTTTTAAAAATGTAGGCAATATATGCACGTATGTAGCATTAGTATGAGATTTTCTGTAAGGAAATAAGCATTCGGAGTCTGAACATGAGAGTCAGCCTTACAAGATTCTTGAGGATTAAAAACTTGAGGGGTCTGAATAAAAGCAAAAATGCCTTTTTTGTTGAATAAGCATATGGGTGAAATGCTAATTTGCTTGACTGCTACTGCTCTAGTTCTTGGCTTCACGCATGTCTAAAGTCACTTCTGCAAACATAGACCAGACCTCACAGATTTTACTAGAAATTAACATATGCGTGCACACAGGTTCAGTGATCATTGGAGGACTTAACCCATCAAAATTTCCTTTCTGTGCTGTCTCACTTTCATGTTCAAGGACATCTGCACACTGCAAAAGTGGGATGTTAAATTTTTCCTTTTGTTGGGAGTGAAACTCTCAGGAGAGTTTACAGTTTAGCTTGAGTACACCTGAACTAAACAAGTTTCTATATGTATGGCTTTAATGGCATGTAGTAGTTCTCAAGCAATTTGATCGCTGGAAGTAACAAGTTTTCCTTGTGCTTGTTGTGGAATCACTCTAAAGGGCTTGTTATAAATGCTGAAGGAACACCATTTTCTGTTAGGAGGAGTGAGAGGAGGTGGATTATCTCTCTGACTAGCAGTCCTTGGCTAGGACAGAGGTGTCAAGGTCAGCAGGCCCCCCAGGCCAGATACAAACCTTGAAACCTGGAAGTGTTGACATAAGGGTTTTAATGCAGCTGTTGTCCACTTCCCCCATCTTCCCCCTGCTGACATGTTCCCCGACAGGACTCTGTAGCTGGGAATGCAGAGGTAGGCCCTGTCCCTGCTCTTTCTGGTCCCTCTAGGAGCCTCAATAGACTGGGTGAAATAGCTTCAAAAGTTGGATCCAGCCTGCAGACTGCATCTTTGACACCCCTGACCTGGGACATATGGATTGGTGACTATTTGCATAAATCCAAACTTTACCTGTTGTGTTCCACTGAGATAATTTATTTCTCTCCTCCTTCTGCTTGCCTTATTAAAGGGTAATGCAAGCTATCTATATCTATATAGCTATAGCTTGCATATATGTATATAGATAGATATATAGCTTGCATCACTCAGTGTGTGTGTCTATAATATATGCACAAATTTGTGTGTGTATGCATGTACACACATGCACAAACATACATAAAGAGTGTGTGTGTGTGCGCGCGCGCTCGCGTGCATGCATGCATGCATGCAGTATATTTGTGTATATATGCACAGTGAATGTTGAGGGATTGGGGACCTTAGTGAATATGAACGTATACGAAGTGTGTGTGGTGTGTTAAAAACATCCTTTATGTATGCTCATGGCATTTTCAGGAATAATTGCATAAGTGACCTTTTGATAAATATTGACCAATAGCTATAAGATAAAATGCAACCATTTTGTAAAACACTAAATCTGTTCTGTGTGTGTCTTCTAATGGTACTGACAAGAACAGTACATAGTTTGGTCCACCCTGAGTTTTCTAGTTCTGACTGTGCTATGTACTTCTTAAGCCTCTGTTGGTTTATTTTCCTTGGTTCTCTAGCTAGTTTTCTGCTAAGTTATCTCCTTTTCAGTCCACTTCCTTTTCTCTCACTTTTTATAAAGAAAAGGTCCTTCTCATGATTTATTGTGTGAAGCATTTTCCCATACTTGATGAAATTCTTCAGGCATGATGCCAAATTTGTGACCGACTTGAACTCCTACTGATGGATTCCTTGGCTCATAAATAGCATTGAATGCTGCAGAATATTTGTGACTCAGTGTTCTGATACTACTCAAACTTCTATCTAGGTCTTTAACTTCAGACCGTAATCAAATAGTGCTCCTCATGCTTTACTTGGAGACTATCTTGGTCTAGTATCTAACTGGCTGGCTGTCCAGTTACCATCCTTTTCAGTTCCTTCTGAGTAAATATGCTCTTCTGGAGAACAGTAGGGATTTTTATTTCCTTGTGACAGATGAGAAGAAAAGAAAAAGTAATTCTAATAATTTAGCATATGAAGATCAGATCCAGCCATTGAAAATGTTGCAGAACAAAATGATGGTCTCCACCAGTAGCACATTGTGGAATTCTTAAGTACTTTTTTCCATCTGAAGAGGTTGTTGAGCTGCAGCCAGTTTTAAATAGCATGTGACTAAATTCCTAGTCTTGTGGGCATTTTACAAAATGACCTTCCTTATCACATGGATGTGTTCTTATTTAACTATAGCCTTTGGCAAAATCCTGCATAGAGCCAGTTTTTGTTGCACACTGAGGTAATGATTGCTGGGCTCGATCTGGTGAAAGAAAGTGGATGACATAATGGAGCTTCTTTAGTCTCATTAGAAAAACAAAAGCAAAAATACTAGCTCTTCCATCTTTTTCTGCTTGAACTTGTATTCGGTTTTGTATTTGTTTTTTAATGGTTGTGCCCCAAACTGAATGCTTTTATTATGGTTCATGTCTGAAGATGGTGTAGAAAAGAATAAGCCTGATTTATCCGAACTGTGTAGTATTGCACTTAATCTAATCCAGCATTTCTAAAACTGCATTAGTTTTTCCAGGTAATTTTTTTTCACCATTATCTGCTATTGCTGAACCTGGATTCTCCCATTTTGTCTCTCTTGTTCTTTATTTTTCCCATAAACATTAATTTTGGGGGAATTTATTGGATCTCATTTTGTTCATAGACACTACAACTGATTTCATTCTTGATGTAGCTGAATCTCATTATGCTCAAATTTGTGATCCTTTTTAACATTATCATCCACAATTTGAGTAGCATATTTGCTCCCGTGACTTTCAAACTGTTAAGGAAACTATTTAATAATGGATCCTAAATGACTCACTTCCCAATAAAATATAGTAATTTATGACTACTATTTTTTCATCAGGTTTTCAGATTTACAGCCTCATCCCCTTTTCCATTCACAGTGTTCACTGCATTTCCTTTAGGAGCCAATCTATACCATGTGGCAAATTCCCAGCACATACCTGCCCAGTACCAGTTTTAACGCATCTCTTATCTATCGTATGGATGGATCAGCATGATGATTGGATTGGAAAGGATTCATAGCCTAAGGCATGATCTTGTCCTGTGACCCCAGTCTGAGTCATTTAACTTACAAACTCTTTGTTTCTCCCATCTAGGATGTGCCTGGTGTAGCTTGACCCAGAAATGGCCGGCCATCGTTAAGTTTTCACTGTTGAATTACTCATTTTAGCCATCCTAAAAAGTAAAGACAAATCCAAAAATCTTCTGTAACACTTGCCATATTTTTTATTCATTCGTCTGAAAGCACTTAAGTACAAAAGTGTCAGCATCTTCACTACAGAGATGGGAAAGAGAAGAGACAGAATTTAGTCTCTGAGCCAGAAAAAAGACCCCGGTTTCCTGACCTCCTAGTGTCCTTTCCAGTAAATGTTTGAATAACTCAAAGCAGCAGCCGAACTACAGCTAAATAACAAAACAAAAAAAATCCTCCCTGCAGAAGAATAGAAATTTGTTGTTGCACTCGTTAACAGCATTTGAGCTGTATGTGTTTAGTAAGCAGTTTGTTCTCCTTCCCTAGTCAGTAAAAGGGATAAAATGGTTTCCAGTGAGTTTTGAAGGGTTAAGGACTTCAGTGTAATTCCGGTGCTGGAATCATTGTAGAAAGGAAGAAATAGTCGCTAGAGAAAGATCTGTAACCATTATTTTGTAGGTGTCTCGGCATTTTTCTAACCAGAGCAGCATGTCATGAAAATAAACAGAAGCATGCTTTAATAACCCAGTATGCTTTCACCATTTCTGCTCCCTTGTTAAGTTGGAAACTGCTTGTGCACTGAGTTTGCCTATATGTAATCTAAATTTTAGCTTTAGAAAAATAATATTTCTTTACCATTCTCTCTACTTTTCCTACAGTCTCATACCTCAGAAGGAGAGAAGGAAAACGCAAATGCGCTTAATGAAATTATGGTACTTTGCATCCTCTGCTGCTTTTCTGTGCACAGTTGAACCTCTTTTCTACACCAAACCAGTGTGATTTCTTTATAATTGATACTGCATTGTCTCTGAATGTATCCAAGTCTTTTACAGTATTTTTCTTTGAAATGTGCTTTGCTTAATTTACATGGGCAGAAATGTTTGTTTGAAATATTTCTGTGCTTGCTTTGGTTTTTGGAGTGCACATTTTGATTTTGATTTTTTAAACATGTTTTTATCATTTCAGCAGTCATTCCATCCCAAGGACTAGGACAGTGTTGCGTTAAATTAAAAATAAGCAACTAGAGCTGAAGAGGACACGGAGGAGGAAAGAAGGGATATCGCTGTGGGACTTGATGCAGTTTAGGAAGAAGATGCTTTGGCTTTGTTTTGCAGTAAAGATTTAGCAGAAAGCTCCTTATTTGTGGAAGAAACGGACTGGTAGAAAGCTGAGCTATCTAATCAAGCTTTTTAATTCTAAACATTTACTCAAATGTTTTAAAAAGTATTTGTAAATTTAGACTCAGGTGTAAATATTTAAGTTCTCTATTATAAAGAGAGCCTGCTAGTCCATATGATGCATGTGTATAAATTGTGATGGCAATCACTTAGCTGCTGGCCACCATAAAAAGTGAAAACATGGTGAGGCTTTTAAATATTTAATTCACTGTTGTCGATCCAAGTCAGCCTCAGTCTCCAGTTAGAGACTAAGCTTGGAAAGGCAGTCTTTTATTCTCATAACAAGGTACTCTCATGTTGATTGGCTCTCCTTTCTTATTTTGTATGAATTTTTTTTATGAAGCTGCAATTGTAAGTACACAGACTAATTACTGTCCACCAAAGAGTGCTTTATTTCCAAGGATTTCTTTTTTAAAGAACCTAATTAAAAGCTAATGCTATTTAAGCAGTTAATAGCTTTTAAGTTGTTCAGAATGCAGTGGCTCTTTCAACCGGTAGTATTTGCTTGAATCAGGTATATTTCCTACCAGAGTTTAATATAAAGAAGTACCATCAGTGTTTAAACCCACACTGCGGCCTGAATTATTTTACTTACTAGTGCTGCATGTAACACTTAAGAATAACATACCTGAAAGATGAGAGAATTTTTCTTATGTCTTTGCGTATTCGACCACACTTTCTGGTCATTGTCACTAATTCCCTGGTTTAGTCATTTTCTTTCATGCAATAATGGTGGGGGCTGGAGAGAGAGAGAAAAAGACTTAAAATAGGAATATGTATTTATAAAACCACTGAAATGAGCAGTGGGACTCAGGGGCAGGTGTAATTAGAAATGTTAGTTTGAGGTGACAGTGTTTTTTTAAAATACCCACATATATTTTTTAAAAGAAATGCTAGATATCTAATTATCTATTTAGTGCCATGGTAATTTTTTTTTAAAGGGAATCTGTCTAGGGTTTGAAATACCATTTCTTTCTTTTACAATACTATTTTTTTCAAAACTAAAAGACATTTTTTAAATTTTCTCCACCACCTTTGTCCTGTTAGATTTGACAGCTGTTTTTTTCTGCTGTATCCTTGTCTGCCAACTTCACATTTGACACCCACACAACCCTCAGAATAGATCTGCCTGCTGCATAGTCAGGAGTAAAAGAACACACTTGTTTATTGTTTTTTTTTGGAAATGTGTTGCGGGGAGGTTTGAATTATTAGTCAGTGACAGACATTTGTTTTAATTGAATGAATACATATTGATTTTGAGAGAGACAGAACGTTCCTTTTGTATTGTAAACAGGTGAAATTCAATGCCTAGTTTTGAATGAATCTCCCTTTTTTAAATTTAAAATTAAAAAGATACCTAATGGCAATTTGAGGGTGTTACCTGCATTTCAACAAATAACTGTGTGGTGGCTTGAATAAAATTGGATGGTAAAGGCTACTGACTGTTAGCCCAGAATACGGTAATTTTTAGTTGCAAGAAATACCTCCCAAGTACTTGAACTTTAAATTTGTTCATTTGAATACAAAGCAAATAGAAGAGCAAACAAGTTGAAAATATAGAGAGTAAAATAATGAAGCTTGGGAAAAAAAAGGGTGGGGTGGAGAAAACCCTTTAACTCTCTTTAAATTATCTGGCCTGCCTCCTGTGCTTTGTACAGCACTGTCCTCAGAGAAGTGGCAGTATATCCTATTTTATATTATATTTCAAACTTAATTGGCAATGGGGGGCTGAGGCATACTTACTCTCTGGGGAAAAGAGCCTTACAAACTTTGTGAGGGATGACATAGGAAGAAAGAGAATAAGTCGACTAGGGTTTTAAACCAAAGGGGTCTACTAGCAAAAAGAGAAATGTTTGCTTTTATTTTAGGAATACTTAGTCATTGTCCCCCCACCCAGGAGATCATGGATATCTAAACTGTGCTTTAGTATGTAGGTGACTTGCAGAAAAAAATGCATATAATGCTCCTGAATTGAAAGAGTGATGTCTTTGAGTTATGCCCTGCAATTTTTAAACCAAAGCACTTGTTGCGGGCCTCCTTCCATGAGAGAAGGAAGAGCAGCTCCTCCCAAACCTCTCTATCTGACCTGCAGGTAAGCATCAATCAGCCAATAGCAGTTCAGTCAAAGGAGAGTCATAGAAAAGTAGGGCTGGGAGGGATCTCAGTAGATCATCCTGTCTAATCACCTGCTCAAGGCAGGTCATCCCTGTTGAAACTATCAAGTGCAAGTCCTTGTCTAACCTGTTCCTAAAACTATACAATTGACTACAACGTATATGGCCCAAAGACACCCCAACCTGTCAAAAGTCAAGCCAAGGAGCAATGGGAGTCAGTGTCCCACAGCTGCAAGGGCTGCTAAAATACACTCGAGAGACCAGAGGAAGAGGACCATGTCCCCTGCTAGAAGGCAAAAATTCCCACAGTTTGTACCAGTCTGACCATGGTGTAAAATTCCTTCCTGCTCCCAAATGTAATAGGTCAAACTATGAGCTGGAAGGGCAAGACCCTACACAGGAACCTTTGGGTTTAAGTCCCAGTTGGAGCATTTAGCACACTCAAGTCAAAATCCCAAGCCTTGGCTGTAGCCAACACCTAGTGTAAACACAGGAAACGCAGCTAAAACATGATTCTCTGCCATATGCAACTACAGCAACTTGAGTGTTGCTTGTCAGCTAACATACTAGCAAGACAGGCAGTAGCTGCAGCCACAAATGAGAACATGTACTGGAAAGTAAAGGCCTTGCTTTAGTGACCTCACAATTTAAATTTGAGTGACTTTAATAGGTGGATGAAGCAAATCAAAAATGTGAAAGGGTGGGAGAAGGCGATGGGACTAAATTAGAGTTTGTAGGATTTGGGCAGTGAACTGTAAAGTCTTTGGGTTGCCACCTACCTCGTGATTTCTTTGCTTTCTAGGTATTTTAATCTTTTATGTACATTTTTATGGTCATTTTCATAATGACTATAGCTTTTTCTGCTTTGGGGTTAGGGAGTGAAGTAGAAATAATGTCTCCTTTTTATAATTGTACTGGCAAATACTGGATACAGAATAAAAGATCAAGCAAATTACTTGGATTACATCAGAGCCCCAAGATGATGCTTTTTAACAGGTGTAGATTAGTTACATGTTAACAAAAACTAAGTTGTATATCTGTTTTACCTGCAAGTAGTCAAGCTCTTTTGTTCTAAAGAATCCCCCTAAATAAAATTTCAACAGATTTTAGAATTTCCTTTTTTTTTAAACAAATAAAATTGAACGCTTTCAACTTTTTTTTTTTTTTTTTTTTTTAAAACATCAAAAACGTAGTTGACTGAAAAACTGTCAGTCACAAATGTTTGTTGCATATTGTGAAAGTAAACGAAGTTTTGCATTTTTGTTAATATGTATGTTTTGGGCTTCCATCTTTTTCCATCTCTCTACATCTTACTGTTACGGAGAAATGTGTGAGTGCCGCTGGTGCTTTGCATATGCACACTCAAACCAGCCTTATATAATGACTATGTCATATCCCATTTATTTGTAGTATTTAGTTTGTACTTGGTTTGATATTTGGCCTTACATTTGCACCATACATACCAAAGTTGTCTTAGCATATGACTCTAAAAGATGGGGATGGGTAAAGGAGTCTTTCATTTCCAAAGGGCCATTGACTTGTGAAATAGTGTGCCAAATGTACATATAGAATGGATGCATTGGAGATTTTAAAAGAAGTGTGACTGCTAAGTAGGTTATTCCTCCTATCATGGAGTTGTACTGAATTAGTGTTCTCTTCTTGCTTTTCTTGTTGTCTGTGGGTTTTCGAGGGATTTTTATTCCCCAAGATTGGGAAATGCAGGAAGAATCATACTAAAAGCATATAGTAAATACTCTGAGTATTTACAGGGCAAGTCAATTTGCATTAGTGTCAGTGATGCATACTGAATTTGCTGTCAGATCTTGACCTGATGCCCTGACTAGAATAGGGAAGTGCTGCTGTTTTTAAAGTTAGATGAAAAATATAAAGCTCTGATTTGTATGAAGAGATGCACATTCTAAATGGAAGAACACTTGTCAAGAGTTACGTTCACCAGATTGTTGTACTTCAATTTTATATTAATAGTTTTTGAGACTTCTTTGTTCGTCTTGTGTGTAAACTCATGTACAGAATATCAGGTTTTGAAAGTTACTGACTGATCAATACTGCTCATCCTGATTTTTTTTTAATTGTATATTTCTATAATTGTATTTTTTAATGCCGACTGAATGACAGAATGGGAGTTTATTTTGCTGAAAGTATTTTTAAGATAAAGCTTCATAATGTCTTGTAAACTTAGATAGTTTGATATGCATTAGTCTCATTTGAAAACCTTGCATATTGTATCTTATTTTATACCAAATCTTGAATAGTGAAAATTGTAAACATAAGTTGTGTACAAATTAAAATGATTAACCAAGGCTTTTTTATTTTTTTCCCTCATTTTATTCTCAATCTTCAAAAATCAGGAAGTCTCATAAAGCCTAAGTGTGCATGTAATTCCTAACACTTTATCAGTGAAGATACTATTACTTTAAGTGAGAGCAGAGCACTGAGACTTAGATCAGGATTGTATTTCAACTCTGATACCAACTTTATTTAAGATAATCATTCAACTTTTTCCCCCACCTGCAGAATGGGTTTAGTGCCCATCTCTAAAAAGTGCAGCAGAATAGGTGGGTAAAAGATTGTCTGGCTATACTTGACATGTGTGGCAGAATTTAATTAATTTTTTGAAATAATTGACATTTTTTAAACTTTTGGAAATAATTTTGATCAAATTAAACAATTTGAACACTTTTTTCCTTCTTAAATATTCCACTAAAATGTTACATATAAAATCAACATCAGCTTAATTAGATCAGAATGTGACTGACCTTTAAAGTCAACCTTTGCCACTAACTTCCTCCCTCTTTGCGAAATGTCTGTGATTTTAAACCGTTAATTCCTAAGTATCTCTCTCGCCTGCTTTCTGATAAAAGTGTAATTATGCCTGTATTTATGAGAAAAAAACATTAACAACATCCTAGTGTCTGTGTCAACAAAGTGTACCTCTCTAACCTTCTAGCTCTTCATCCACTTCAAAACTGATTACATTTACTTGTCTTCTGTTCAGTTCATATGACCATTTTCCCAGCATGGTATATCAGAGTGTAGCTGAATCTTAAGGACAACATTATTTCAATGACAAGAACCATTTCTAACACTAAATCTTTGGGCATATGTATTTAACAGGTACAAAGAACATGGATCTTAAAGGAAAATGCAAGAAAATAGGTTGACTGGAATTCTAAGACTACTTAAAACAAGTATGATAGATTATGATTTATATGGGGTCACTTCCAGATCTGCCGATTTAGTTTAGGCTAGTTTTTAGGTTTTTTTCATGCTGCAGTGGTTCCACGTAGCTATCTGTAAAGGTGCCACTAAGCAAGGGTGCCAGAGACACAGCTCAAGACCCACATCTAGTCCATCCGGCTTACTGGAAATAGAGGGTATAGCCAGGGATGAGTGTGGCCTGCCATGGAATCTGGGACCCCTTGGCCCTGGGCTTTAGCAGCAGACACGTAAGCAGTGGCCTGGCCTGCAGTTGTTTGCCCCACTGCCATTGCAGTGGCCACAGCTGCTTCTAGTCACCGTTGCTGCTGCAGTGGCTGGGGAGGCTGCTCTATACAAGATCCAGCCCAGGGTGCCAGGTGCATTTGACACCCCTGCACTAAAAAAAAAGGAATGGCAAAGGTGGTCTTGTTTAGCTTTCAAGTTCACTTGCAAAAAAGGGGTTTGATAAGAAATGACTTTTTTTTATTCTAACAGGAGTCGTTTTATTTTC